AGGATTTCTTTGCATAGTATAAAGAGAGACACAGCCAGAGCTGATGTTTGTGACTGAGACCCATCTCTGCTCTGAAGGTTAGAAAGCCATCCTCCTTTCACCGGTGTGATTTTATTTTTAAAAGCAGTTCTCCTGGCCGGCTTCTCTGCCCTCAGCCGATTACGTAAACTATTGACATATGCAGACCAGTTGAGGCCATTTTTTCTGTTTAATTCAAACCTTGTTTTAAAAGTGAAGTTTTAACATGTTGTTCTTTCTGAATATTCCACAATATGTGCTTTCACGTTTGGTTATATAACATTACATTCTTTTACAATAATAAAGCTGAGTGTATTTTGGAATTGTTCACAGACTGAGGCAGTTTAGCAAATGGGACACATCCAGATGTGAAAACGTTCTGTGGCTTGGCTAGACATGTTACTAAACCATTTCTCAGACATCCAAATGATGCTTAGGATGAATTTAGATTTCCTTTCTGAAAGGGATCTAGCACTTCCTTAGTATGCACAGGGAGAGCCATCCTATTTATGATGCTGGGATTCTGCAGTTAAACGCGATTTACCAATATTTAACTTAATTCACTAATATGTTAAAACTGCTCATGAGATTAATTTAGGTACTTATATAACCTAATGGCCTTGATACAGGAGAATATATAACTAAATAATAATGATGTATTGAATCCAGTGTCTTCAAGCTTCAGACTAGGGGAAGAGATGACTGGCACTCATGTGTCAAGAAAACCCTCTTTGGTAGATTTTCATGTATAGTCAAATTGCTATGATTTTTCTAGATTCACAGGTGGGTACTTAAACATAAGCAACAGGGGGATCTACTATTCTAACAGAAAAAATAAAATAATTTGTGAGTTTGTGGGGCTTTTCTGTTTCAAGAAGCTGATGAAGGGATGTGACATAAGCAGGGCTATTGCTATACATCACCCTCTTGGGTGGAGGCGGGCAGCCTATGTGCTGCAATGAAACACCTCTTTCCTCTGAAGGCATTTTCATGATCTTGTGGAACAGAAAGTGACTCAGGCCAAAGCTGTGGTCTGCATCCCCAAACAGACATTTGAGAAATCCTACATACCTCTGCCAAGAGTGTGACATCGTTGACATGAGTCTTGGCACAGGGGATCCCTTGCCCAGATACATCCATTGTCTCTTTCTGCATTATCGTGTGTGGCCATCCCTGCTGCAGCTACGTGATCTGCATATTCAATTACTACAGCATACTGCTTCACCCTGGCCCTGTACTGCCATCAGCATAAATTTAGGTTTATAACCTTACAGGATAGATCCCAGGACTTACATACATTGGTCTTGTATTGTCTCTGCACAAGGAAAATTTCTATGGACTTCAGGGATTTCATTACAGCCTCTGTGTGCCACATATTTATCTGGTCACTCAGTGTATCAGCTACCGGGCGCTTCATTTGCCTATTGCCTGGGAAAGTGAGAGGACTAAAAGTTCTCCACTAGGATCAAATAATCTGCTTCAGTTGGCTTATTCCAATCTCAGATTCTGGTCTGAATCAGTCAGGACCTGTCCTGTTAACTCAACAGCGTTTTTGCTTGTATGAAACAATGGGTCTATGTCAACAGCGTGCTGGTCTGGCTTTACATCACATTGAAATCAAAGCAGTCATCATGTCATCAGCCTGTAGAAACCCAGTGCTGAGTTCATCCACAATAGTTATTTAAATCTGCCTTTTTTTTTTTTTTTTTTGAGCTGACTTTGATGGAAAACTCTGGGCTGACTGCCTTTGACTTTGCTATTTTATGTTGTTTGTTGTTTTGCTTCCTGGTTATTATTGATATCCCATCATTAGCCAAATACTTTCTAACCACAGGAATTAGTGCAGCCACAAATTCTTTTTTTCTTTCTTTCTTATTTCTTCCTTTTGCTTGTAACTTATGAATATTTATTTATAGAGGTCAAAATCACAAAGTGTTTTCACCATTTCCCTGCATATAGGCCCAATACAGTGATTTACCAAGCGACCAAAGACTTCAGATTTATTACCTCACAGCATTTATTGTTTTTTTTTATCCACAGAATTCTTATTTATCCATTCAAAGAATGATCCCGGCACAATTCAGTTTATTGCAATGGTGAGATTCTAATTCAAATGTTGAGCTTTGGCTTTCTTTATCAAAGTTACTGTTTTCCAAATATGCTTATCTCCAAATACCCTTCATTTGCAGCTGCAAGATATCTGGGTGGGAAATAAGAGACAACTTAGAATTGTGTGCCAGATCTGCTTTATTTGCAGATGTGCCATGTACACAGAACAGCCATCTGTCCTTGCCAGCAGTAAGAGATGTATAGTAATGTCTGCACTCAGCTTCACAATGCCGAAAGCTTTCTTTCCAAGGAAAAAAATCTGGACGTTTCATGCACTTATATGGTATTTTGTAGCCCTAGTACTTTAGAGCCAAAGGAAATGTACATGTCCAAGAGAGTTTCTGGATACACAGACAGATTTCTTGGAACTAGATTTAACTGCAATCATCAGGGAAATCACTTTGTTGCTCTCCTTATGCTAGGAAAGCCAATGTGCAATGCAGTGTGAGCCTCCACAGAGCAGAAACCTTTCCATTCTTTCTGAAAGCAACAATTTCATACATGATAGATTGATGAGCAGTACATACACACAAAAGCATACAGAATTTGGTTCTCTTTACAGTTTATCTCTGGGAAGCCTCACACTCACATGTCTATTAATCTATCAGGTCTATTCTGGATACTTACAGTTCTGCTCCAGATCTGCCTCAAGGGTTGAGTCATCTCACAAACATCAGGCATCTGTAGCATAGATGTCTACAGCTAAACTAGGCATCTGAATTGCCTTTCATAGTCACCGGACAGAAACAGGCATTTGCAGGGACAAAGGTTAGGGACCTTTTTGTTCAGAACTGGCCTGTGTTAGAGATCTAACCGGCATGAAATGGAGTTTGTCCTAAAATCCACTTAATAGATCTTTATTGTCTATTAAGGAACCCTGGGTAACCGGCTCAGATGTATACATAAATGATATAGTGACATCTGAGCCCTATCCCTTCTGTTCAAAGTAAAACCACCCTGATTTGACATCTCCTGTGAATGTGTAGTGTGTTTATATTCCATCTAACTAAGAGAGACATTTCAGCCTTCACTACCAAAACCTGTTTATCACTCTTCTCAGCACTGTGTACTGTACATGATCCTACTTGTCAGTCAGCCCCATACACTGGGTATCAGTTTTGACTTCTTTGACCTCTTTTGATTTAATTTAAATACACACTGTCTCAATTGTTTAGGTTCCTCTAGGATAAAGCCTTTCCTGTGCATCTCGCTGGCAAACATTATGTGCGAGCTTTAGGTCTTTTTCATGAACAAGCTCCAGAAACTGTCTAAAATCAAACTACTTAAGAGTATGAAACTCATTGATAACTTTACTTAGAATATGGATAACTTAACTATGTACAATCCACATACTACATGCATAGCCACATCTACACTATTATACCAACTTCCCCTTCAGTGTTCATCAAACTTCAGCTGTATCTCCTCACCTTCACTGAGGTCCACAGCTTTTCTGTCCTATCTCTTCCTATCATCTGTATTGAGAGAGTGGCTCCTGCTTCTGTCTCATTTTTTTTTAAATATATTCCTGTTAATTATCTATGAACCCTGTTCATGGTTCTAATTCAGATTCCTTCTTGCAGCTTTCCTTGGCCCTGATGTCTAGAAAATACCTGGCAATACAGGCTATCTGACTGACTAATGCAGTTGCATTGTTTCCTCCCTCTCTCTATAGATCTATTTGATTTTGTCTTGTATTTAGATTCCAAAGCTATTTGCCCATGTGTATACAGTTCTTAGCTCAACTTCTGCTGAACCACTATAGTATAGAAAGTAAATAATAATACTCAGAGACTTATTTTGTAATATTCAGGGTAAATAACATTTCACAAAAGCTTTCTGGTGGAGATTTCCACTGTCTTCTTTCATAAACACTAACACTGTGCTTCTTTTGTTAGAAATTCTTCATTCTTCTTGTTTTGATTCTTTCATGCTTCTAAGTTTGAAAAGCTTCAGCTAGGTCCTGAAGCTGACACATTGTTGCAAACATGCACTTCTTTGGTAAAATTCTTGCATTTTGTTTGTGTCTGTAAAATACCAGTTTTAGAATAAAAGATTATGACTTTTTTTGCTCAAATAAGGTAGAAAACTTCCAGACTGTAACAAGTTTCTACCATTCTCCTATACCATAAAAGGTTACACTTCAAGTGGACGTCGGTGAGACAAGATTCATTGGTAGTTTTGTTGGATCAGCTGGTATAGCTTGAAAATTAGACAATTTTCCAAAATATATCCCTTTTTATGTCCCAAATATGTCCAAAACTTAGTGTATATAAAATGTCTAACATACCTCACACCACAGAAACAAGAAAGAGATAAAACACAACAGGAAAGGTGTAATATAGAGCCAAGCCCTGAGATACCACCTCATTTGATCTAGAAAGAGCACAATCAAGGCTACATCAATAACGTATAGATTATTTTTTCCAAAGGATACCATTTTACTTAACTAGATGGAGTTTTAGAAAATAGGCATTTAAACACCCATAAGGAATTACTTCAGAAGAGAAAGAAAACCTCCACTGATTCTGTGGAGTAGCTGACAAGTGCTATCCTAGCCTGGAACCCACACAGAACAGTTACAGCTGTGATTAAGTCTTAGGAGATAAATATCCTTCTTTGAAAATGTCCTTCTAGACCTCCTATCCTGCCCTCAAACAACCCTCACCTTTGAAACTAGGGTGCTATTTACAGAGGTGCAGTTTCTTCAGGTCTTCTATTTTGTATGATGTCTCATTTCTGCGCTATCTCCAGTGAAATCTAGGTGAGGCATAACAGGTGGAAGAATTAAACTGCTGCATGTCAGTAACTAATAATGCAAATATCTATAAGATGCAAGAATTAATTATTCACTGAACTTATTTTTCCCAAAGGTATGAAAGTTGAGCACTGTCAGGAGGCAAAACCAGTCAACTGGAGAATCAGCTGAGGTGCCTGTCATCATTAAACGTCTATCTATGCCTTGTTAAAGCATTTGGCAACACAGACTGTGGCTGAATGGAGCTGCTCAGAAATGGATATAGATGGCTATAGGTGCTTCATCAGGATAGAAATCCAAAAGCTCCGTCAAGAAAAGACAAAGCTGCATCTCAGTGAAATCAGTCAGCATTCCTTCTGAACTCTGCCAAGATTTCTGAGGCACCTCAACAGCTTTGCCTTATCTTGTGTGTCCTATTCCTCTGGATAACTGTTTTCTGCTTTATGCTAAACATGCCTTATGTGTTGAGAAATGCTGTTGATCTGGCATGGTGCCTGAAAACTTTTGCAGATGGGCAGGAATGTTTTATTCTGATAAAGAAAGGGCTGCAGACGCAAATATTGCAATTCTCAAGAAAAAGGGAGGAGAATATCTGGTGGAATGGGAACAACCCTTCTTTTCTCACAGACAAGGCACCAGCTTTACCCACTATTTCGTCTGCGAGAAGGACCTAACCTTCAGCTCAGTGGTTTATCATCTACATGAGTAACTTTTACGAGAGACAGTGAACTTATCTGATGTTAGTCATTTGATTGCAGCGATTGCTGCTGCTTCAAATCTGTTGATCCTGACATTTTGGCAACATCTGTGCACAACTTGCTCTGTTACAGCTCCAGTACTGTCACTTTCCTTCTCTCCACCAATGTTTCGATTTGATGCAGTGTCTGTGCAGCACTGTGAAATCTGTCACCTTTATGTAACACAGCAATGTTACAAAAAGCAAATCTTTTTCAATTTATACTTGGAAATTTCAGTCTTTATTTAACAGGATTCACTCCACAGGGGCCTATTCACATTAGGCATGAATGTGGTCTGAGAGGAAATAAAGACTGTAATATTAAGCCCTGAGTCAACCTTTTCTTTTTTCTTTTACAATTGTAAGATTAATAGCCTTGGATTGCATTGCATCCCTTTACTACGCTCATAGCAAGGCACACAGGACCAAAATGAAACCATCCTAAAGTAAATGTCTAAAACAGAGTGGATGACTGCTGCTGCCTCCTCCACTGATTGCATGGGGACTCCGAGGGGATTAGCTGAGACAGAGTCACCTCTGCTATGGACATGAGGCACTGGGGGCAATGAAGCCCATCTAAATTGCCTGAAAATACCTCAAAATACTCAAGCAACTGTGTTCCAGCACAGAGTACCTATGATGACAGTTGTCATAGGACAAATGTCTCTTTGTTCTGCCAATGAATATAGTTTGTCCCTGTAGCTCAAGCAGCCTGAGCAGCCAAGCAGATAGATCAAGATTCAAGATGGTTCTATGTGGGCCATATTTGTTTCTTTCTTCATCCCTGAAAACCTAAGGAATATGGGTACTAGTTGTTCAACTAGAGCATATATGTTCGGATTACATCTTTATTTACATCATCACATGTTATTTTGTCCCACAGAACAGGGTACAGGAAGATTTCACAGGAGGATGGAATTAGGGCAACCTTCCATCTGGCATCTGCTTAACTTTCCAATCTATATACATGATGTTTTGCACAGGATATATAGGAAATATAATTGTAAGTTGCCTGAGAATCCTGTTCGTGGTGCAGTTAGGAAATAGAGTGGAATGGTAAAAGATGAGAAGACAGTGCAAAGAAATAAGCTTATTTTTTGGCATCAGTTTCCTTCTCAAAACATGCTGGAAAATGGCAGAAAAAATGAGGTTGTCAGCAAAGAATAAGGAAGGAAGTTACAAGAACATAGAATAAATGGTAGTATGACTCAAAATCTGTGTATATTCACTGTAAAGCTTTGAAAGAGTTTAAGATTCAATGAGATACCAATAAAACTATATAGCACACTTGTCAATGCTCATCCAGTGTTTTAGTGTTGAGAGGACAGGGGAATTAAAGTTTATGTCTGCAAACTTTAATACTGATCTCTGAAAAGGAGCACCAGCAGTGTCTGTTTCATTTAACTTTTTACTGCTTTCTTAGGTGTAGAATAGGCACTGTCAGCCCTGTGGTTGCTCTAGTAGCAGCTCCTGGCTGGACATAGATCAAGCTTCTCTAGCTCACACTTTCCTCCTGAATGTCTATATCATGCAGACGATAGAACATCACGTAGGACATCCTCTAGTGTGTGCTGATTCATACTTGCAAATCCATATAGTAGAGCTGTTCCTGGTCTTATCCACTGTAATTTTTCTGGAGCAGATGGCCTACATGCAGAAAGCAGAAGTAGAAAAATGCATTCTATATGAAAGTCATATTGGTAGAACAGATACTAAGTTTAAATTCAAAGTGTGATGCTTTATGTTCCTTGCAAAAACCTATGTTGGCCTTGTCAATGGTAAGTCTGGATAGCCTTGGAATGCACATACATGTCTAATTTTTCACAGAAACATCTTTAAGTATTGGTCAAAGTGATACATACATTGTGACTGTAAGTGTTCTACCCAGAAATGTGGAAAGTCAGAAAGCACTTATTTTGCCTAGTTGTGAGTGTTCGCCAGTTCTCATCCTCCCAGGTGAGAACTGAGAGTCTCTGTGCTAGTCAGTACAGCAACACTGATTCAGTGTCATTTCTGGATTCTTTCTGTGGAAGAACAAAAGGAAAAGCTCTTCAAAAGGATAAAAGTCTCTCAAACTTTTCTGCTGTGGAGTCCTCCAAGTGCTAAACATATCAAATTGCCTCCTTTACCTAGCAGCTATCTCCTGGTATATGTTCCAGGATAAGTATCTGGCAAGTACATACAGCCCACTGCCCTGGAGTCCTGTAAGTCCACTTTTAATTCCCCCTCCCTGGGTCTCCTGGGGTCTTTTCTCTCAGTCCCAGACACACACCTTACTGTCTTAGACTCCACAGGCTAGCAGCCCATTTGCCTGATAGTCTATAGACAGATGTTCTCTGCCAGACCCAGCAGCTGGTGGAAGATGTGGCCATTGCTGCCCGTGTGATCACGTCTCCCCATCAAGGTGGTTATTCTTTCTTCTGTTTTAAAGTACCAACTCCATGGGTTTCTTCTGGCAAAGCAGTGAGAATGATACCTAACTCATTTGAGTGAAAAAGAGACAACTTGGCTTAAAAAGTTTAAATAATTCATTTTCACAATCTAGGTCACTTTGCCAGAGATGGGTTTGGAAGTGCTTACATGAACAACTCAGATGACAGATATGAGGAGTTGGGAATATATAGAAGAGAGGCAGCAAAGAAAATTTGGGAGTGATAATTTTTTCCAGTGTCACAACTGAATCTAGAGGAAGGTATCAGCTCATGGACTGAAACTGTGGGCCACCCAGAAAGAACTGACATACACAGCTAGTAGTGAAACCATGCTTCAGTGTCTGGGATACGGATTAAGCTACAATTCAAAATGGAATGACACACTAAAAAGAAGATAAAAATATGACAGATCCTTACATGTCTTTTGAAAAGGAAATTTATATCTCATCCTTACATTATAGTACTCTGAACGAATCCATCAATAAAATGAATTGGGAAGTATCAGGAGACAGAAAGTTGGACTTGAATGAGCCTTTGAATAAGGAATAGCTAAGCTATCCAAGAGAAGTAAAATACCTTTGCAGGCCAGACTAGAGAAATCAGCAATTACTCCATCCATTTTCATCACAGCCAAGAGTTAACAATGAGTAGCCAAAAGTTTGGAGTAGAAGCTGCAATACTCAGCACGGCCTTGCTGCGCAGACAAAAGACAGGCAACATCCCAGTCCTGGCAGCTTGGTGTCCTACTACAGCACTTTTCCTGTAATAATGTGTTATACAGACCTGGCAGTGATGGTGGGGACAGTGTCACCTATTCAGTCACAAATGCCAGAAGCAATGCTGTTCCAAGATCTGTTCTGAGGAGAATGATTAAATGAGAGAACAAATGCTCTTTCATTTTGCCATGATTCTTCCAAAGGAAGACCATCATAAAACACACACACCAATAAAACATTTTCTACCCAAACTAAACTATTGCTTACATAACAAGAAAAAAACCTTATATTATTATCCGAAAAATTGCCATCTGGGGGCTACTCATATTATATTCCTTGTTTGAAGTGGATATATTAATGAATGTTCATTTCTGAGCTGGAAAATGTGAGAAGTAGGGAGGCAAAACCTGCAGACTAGCCAGTATTATTTAAGGAAGGAGCGACCTGGAGACAGAGCAAAGAGTTTCTGAAGGAATATTCTGGAATAATGTGCTCAGCTTGGCCACTGTGTTTAATAAAGGATATAGCTGAAAGAAAAAGGTTGAGAGATGGGAAGCAAAACTCACATAAGAATGGAAAGCCATGGGTGTTAAAGAAAAAATGCTGAAGCTTAATTTTAGAAGCGGGACAATGAGGGAAGACCATGATGAATTGCATGAAATGAACACTTAATGAATTGCATGAAATGAACGCATTGGGATTCTTCCATTCATGTGCTTTTCACAAGAAGCCATTCACTGAAACAGAATTGCAGTGAGCATGAAAGGAAGGAGAGAAGTGTTATTTCAAACACTGTACAACCCCCGTTGACTTACAAGGTGAGAGATTAGCTGGGCTGAAGAAAGTAATTTCTGATTTTTTCATGAGTATTTTCTGTGTATTCTCATGAAAAGTGGAAACATCCTCATTTAAAGGAATAGAGATGAAACTGTGGTATGGAAGAGATAAACACCCTAAAATTCCATTGCATGAATGCAGCCAAACTGTAAGAGATACTACTGGGGAGAAACAACCAACCATAAGCATTCGTGCACCCGGTTTTATAGAATCTGGCAGTTACCATGGGTAGGATGCTTGGCTAAATAGATCACAATTCCAATCCAATATGATATTTTGTAAGTGTAAACCAACACTTTGGTGTGCATCATGATTAAAGAGGATGTCAGAAAACTTTAGACATCTATATTTTATTTACCTTTGAGTGCCAACAGCATGACCTGCTTAATCTCGATACAGTGTTTGTAATTTTTTTGTAAAAGACCTTCAGGTCCTCCCTCTCACTACAGTGACAGATGAAGTGCCTTGTGCTATAAGGATTACATGGGAAAATGCATGTAATAAAGTCCTTGTCCTCAGATGTCTCCAAAACAATACGGTCTTAATATGAAAAGAGGCTCCTACTGAAGGCAGAATTTGCTGGGGGTTTTTGATTGTCTTCTTCTAGACTTTTCATCTTTGCAAACTCAGCACAGTGTTGGACTCTTTGATAGAATTATGGTATGTAATTTCAGCCGAGAAGGTGCAGAAATCCCGTGTGTATAGTAACTGTGCGTGTATATGCATTTAAAGTTAGGCATATCTGTAATTGCTGTGAAATTGTAAACCCAAGTACAATCTGGCATTAGCACTGGGCACACTCCATCAACTCAGAAACAAGGTAAATAACTCTGTTTTGATTGTTTGTGGCAGCTGGCTGTATTCCAACATCTATTTAAAAAGAAAGCCATGCCAATATGAGCTAGAGTAATTCCTGGTATTATATGAGAAAACAGAGATATGTGAACTATTTTCTTTACTCAACAGCTTTTGAGACTTCTCCTTCTGGAGGATGTGTCACCAGCTTTTGGTAAGGAATTTATCACTTTACAGATTGCTATGAATCAGAACTACAGTGAATATGAAATGAACATGAAAAGGGAGAAGACAGATGATCAGCAGCAGCAGCCTGACGGCCAGTGCCTGTTTAGCTGCTGTGGGAATCTGTGTATGAGCATGAGTATCATTAAGATATTACATTTTCTTTAACTGTGAAACGACATTCCCTGGGTAAAACAAAACAAAAGCTGGATTAGCTGATCACCACTGTAACAAGCCTCAAACCAAAACAAAGCAGTCTTTCTTTTCTTTTCCAGTATTTAAACATCTCATTGTCGAGCCAAGAGTAAAATAACACTGTTCCAAAGA